TTACCGGAGTATTTATATGCTGCAGCCACATCAAGTGGATTAGCTTTAAACTCCTGGGCTGCCAAGAAATTTTAAAGAAATAGATGTCGTGCCTTGAGGCTACGTTGACAGATATTTTACTGATGCATCAGTTGGGAAGTTGCAACCTTCAGTAGTATGCTTGAAACTTGAAAAAGATGTTCTAAAAAAAAAAAATAGCCAGTTCTTTCCAAACGACACGGTGTTTGTTCATAATGTCTCTGCTGACTTTGCCCTGATGGCAATCCTCTTTTTATGTGGTTTTAGGCAATCCTTTATATTCTGAGGAAAATAGCATCACTGACAACTAGAATAAATGGGCATAAAAAAATCCTTCCCTGTGCCACCCCCCTTCTTTTCTCCCAGTGCCTGACACCACTTAGGATCTGTCAAAAATTTGACTTTTGCTGGCAAGGACGTGGGAACATTTGTGTTAATGTTCCCTGAAACCAGGAACGTGTTTGGGCAGGCGATAGGCATCGGTCTGCCCCGTGGCTCCAAGGCCACAGTGGTTTAAGTTCCTGTCCTGCCATCAACTGCTCATGTGAAAGTCACTTAAGGTTAAAGCTGCAAAAATTTTAGGATGCTTTATTCATGTCTCGGCTGTCAGGGCGATCTCACAAAATACCAGTTTCTCTGCCTTTCCCTCCTGTCTTCGTCTCCTTCTTGCTCCTGAGGATTTGCTGTGAAGCAAGTCCCAGAGCTGATCTGGTTTGAATATCTTTGGCCGGGAGGAGGGGAGCATCATGTCAGCAGCTCTGAAAAGTTTGTTGCTGTGTAGCTTGCCTTTTCTTGCCAAACAAGGATGTATGCCATGTAATATGGAGTGGTTGCTCTCTAACAGAAAGCATGTGAATCGATAAGTCTGAGTGAAAAAGGATGTTTCACACACCTGTGGAATGACAAACAACTGGACAGGCTATGGGCTTTTTCCTAAAATGCTTAAGATGCTGGTTAGAATTTCCTGATAGCTTGCTACTTGAGAAAATTAGTGACAAAACTCCTCTTATACTAACAGCCAGCCTCAAAGTTTTCTAGTGTCATTTCTTTTGCACAGCTAAATTACTTTTTTTTTTTTTTTTTTAACTTTGCAACGCTGGTTGCAGATCCACCCACATTTTTATTTACGTATTCCCAAGAATATTTTTTAGTTTATTTAAAACTAGGTTGATTTTAAGATACAGGAAAACACACAAAGAGAAATGATCCTTTCTAAGAAGGAAGAGATGTTGGACAATCTGGGAGTAGTTCTCCTTTATTGTTCTCAGCTCCTTTCTTGAAGGAGAACTTTTCATGATTTTTGGTTTGTTATATCTGTGCAATGTGGCACAAAAATAGAAGGTTTAGAAAACTGATGCATTATGAGCAAAGTATAAAAATTGTGCCTTCTCTCTAGGGAACAGCACTGGTCAATATTGAATCCGTATCAAAAAGTTGGCTGGATGAGTTCAAGAACCAAGGGGTTTGGATTCTATCAGAGAGAAACATTTTGCAGTTAGAAGTTGCAGCACTTAATCTCTGTAATTGAACTGATCTCTAAGCACAGTCTGGAATATTGGTTGGCCTCAGTTTAAAATAGCTTTTACTGCAGATTGTCTTTGTGATTTTGGGGAAAATCAGTCTCAAATATTTGCAGCTCAGGTTTCCCATTACAAAACAGGAAAAAATTTATTTGCTTGTATGTTAGGAGTGGTTGGCAGCTTCAAACGCTTGGAGATTTCTTTCTGAATCTGGTGAAGAAACACTCTTCTTGTACGATGAAGCTTGAGAGTACTTTAAGTTAATTTTAGTTTAATTAGCGTTAAGTGTGGTTTCCTGTTCTTTTATTGAAATTCTGTTTGGTTGTAATAGCTAGACATTCATACTGGATTTGTAAAGACATGTTTCAAGCCTGAAGCTGTGGAGATAAGTGGACACACTTAGAGATTCACTCCTTTTTTCCAGAGAAAATGTTTCTGGCTATTAATTCCTCCTGGAGAACACCCAGGGCAAGAACAGCGACCCGTGCATTATGTGATAAAAAACTGAAGCAGCTACAAGGCAGGTGTGGAAATGAAATCGTAACGAATGAGTTAGAAATTAAAGCATTAAAGCTGATTGCACACTTGACAGCTTTCACCGCGCGCTTGCCGACCGCAGCTCAGGCTTACCTGATGATGATGAGGGGGATGAAGTACACCAGAAAAGCCACCACCGTCATGTAGGGTACCCAGTAGGAGTCATCGGGCCAGAGAGCCCAGCACTGCACTTCCCCATTGGAGAGCTGCCGTTTCCCAAAAATAATCAGAGTCGGGATGGAAAAGAGGAAAGAGAGGCTCCAGGCCACTCCAATAAGAACTTTCGCCTGTTTTTCTGTGCAAGAGTCAAACAGATGGTGTTAATGGGGGTGCTGGTGCGGCTGGCCCTTTGTGCATCGCTGATAGGAAGCCAGGGAGGAGGAGGAGGAGGAAACTGGATGAAGAAAGGAAATTTTGGGCTGCAGCTGGCTGATGCTGAAAAGACCGCAAAGGAGAATGGGATTTTATTTCTTTCTTGTGATAAAAAGACACATTATTATGGGCTTGTATTTTACAGGCTTTATTTAGAGATGCTGGGCCCATTGAATCTGAACCGCCATGAGAAAGGCACCGGTGAGGGTCAGCAAGTCAGAAACATGTGATGTAAATGGTTCTGCTATGCCACTGAGACAAGGTCACAAATGACTGCAGAGGACCACAGGTTTGCCCTCCTGCAGGCTCTTACCCTGGCACAGCAAAGCAACAGAGGATGCAGAGAGAAAAGAAGGAGCCCTTGTGCTACAGATAACAGCGAAAGGCTGTGCCTGGGAAGGGTTACTGAGAACGTAAACTAGGTGGGAGTGTACTGGATTTGCTGACAGGGGAAATGTCCTCCTTGGAATGGAAATTAAATATTTTGATGCACCTTGAAGTAAGAAAGGAGATCCTGCTGGACCTCACCGTGAAGATCAGGAGCTGAAGGATTCCGAAACACTTGGTAGGTTTGGGCTACAGTTTCCCCTTGACTTCTGGACTCTTCCACTGCCAAGTGGGGAAAACTGGTGGGAAACCAAATGATGCTTGGTGGCACCCATGGGATTTTGTGAAATTCAGTGGGTTGGAGCAAACAACCCCAAGAATTTTTTAATTTTTTTTTTTTTTTTTTTTTTAAAGCTGCATCTTCTGGCTGAAATCCAGGTAGCTCTCACCGAAAAGTGTGGGGAAAAAGGGCTGATTTGTGGAGTAACAGTGAGTCTCAGCCGCAGCTATTCCTCCCAAGTCAGATTGCAAGAGGAACAGATGGGGACAGATTTTTTTGATCTGGGAAGCTTTGGTGTTGAAATACTTTATTGTTCTACAAAATACCCGAGGTTGTGTGTGAAATAGAAAATCACTTTAAATTATGCATATCAAGAAGAATGTCTCTCCTCCTTGAAGCTCAAAGAGCAATATGGAAGCGTGTGGGAGAAACATTCAAAAAGTAATTTTATGCTTTATAAAACATTGGTTGCAAATATTCACTTATCCTGCTCATTTTTAAATGCTGCCCACGTTCGGCAAAATATGGTCTTGCTAATCTAGGGCTTAAGGGAACTCTGATGACATCTACGTAAGTGAGAGGATTAGATTAAGTCTATAAATATTGTACAGGCAAAGGAGATCTGTAAAGTTTCCCAAAGCATAACAGAATAAACTTAGCAAAAGGAATATTAAGAGTAAGTTTCACAAAATATTTCCTGACAGAAAGGGCTTTTTGATTGTGAGCTAGCTACTTAAACTACATACATACAAACCTCGGTGGGGTCCACCTGTCTGTTTCTAAAGGGAAAAGATCATACTTGGATAATATACTTTATTTTTTGCACTGTGTAGCGACGACTTTAATTTGAAGAGAATTGGGCATTTTTGGTTGGGCAAGTGTGGTATTTTATCTGCCTGAAATATTAATTTAATCTTGCTTTTAAATGTGCCTCTTTTTTGGTAGAATATGGGTTTTACAGGTTTTTACAGGGCACTGATAACAGAAAAATTTTCTTACCTAGATTTTATCAGATTAATGTTAATTGGCTGCCTCACAAGCAGGGGTTTTTTAATTTTATTTTTTTTAAATGTTCTAGTATGCTCTAAACACCAACAAATCACATAACTACAACTGTATCAATTATAAAAGGAATCACATCAATAACAGCTTTTGAAATATGATATTCAGCTAGTCTCAGTATTTTCCTTTAAAAAGATATTGCTCTTTAAATAGAGAGTTTTGTACACTGAGATGGTCAAAACTAAGAGGCAGGGTTGGAGCAGGAGTCCCAGTCATGAGCTCTTGCACTGACTTTCCTGAAGGACGTTTTCGTGTCACCGTCCCCTTTGCTCCGCTTCTGCCATTGGTGTGGAAAGTAACAATTGTACTTGTAAGTATAAAATTTTTAAATGTTGAAGTTTGTTTTCTTAGAAGCCATGCAAAGTACAGCTCATTGAAAATGCATTTTAACAGGACTTGAGGCTCATAACTAAACCACAATGTAAAAAAAAAAAAAAAAAAAAGACATTTACAAGGCAAAATGTTAGATTTTTTTCTTCCAAAATGATATTTCAAGGCTAAATGGAAACATAACTTTAAAAATTGGTAAAGAGAAATAACTCTCTTGTTTCTTGATTGAAGGATTTTAGGGGATGAGTGTTTCATTTTGGGAAGAAATTTGCCACAGGTTGACTCAGAACTCTTTTTAAAGTTTCTCTGTATCATCACCAATGACAGTTTTGTAAATTTCTTTGTTCTCTATCTGCAGAATAGCTAAGAGGGCATTTCAAAAGTCCCACACATGACTTCTCTGCCAGGAGTAGCTGGGTGCAAAAGGTGAATACTTATGTATATTCCAGGAAGTTGCTATGGTAAATATACATCTCTAGATAGTTCTTTTGAATTTACAGCTGCCTCCTTTTTCCCTTTGAACGTGGTCTTTGCTTGTCCATCAGTGTGCAGCCAGTCCTTGCCAAAGGCAGGTGGGCTTTGTCAGCATTATCTCTGTCCTGTGTCCCCTCCCCAGAGCCGCCCCCAGCCCATGGCTCTGCTGCTCCTTGGCTGGATGCAACGTCTGTTCTTCTCCAGAAAAGAAAAAACTTTATAGTATAGGTGTTTGAAATGGGACTGGGTTAAAAAAAAAAGGCATTTATAAAGGTTTGAGGTGGTTTGGTGGTGGTTTTCTTCAACTTCAAAGCAGTTTGCAAAGATTAACCACCAAATTCTTTGCTAAGCCCGGACAGTAATTTCCCAAGCGCTGCTTTTCGTGTACCATGTTTGAAGATGAAATGTCAGCGAGTCTGTCTCACAGCTCACCCCGCTCATTCGGCCATCGGTGCTTCAGGTGGTTTATGAACCCTCCTGAGACTGGCTTAACATGGGCAGGAGCTGCAGAGTATGACACATGTCCCAAAGCCTGCTGAGCATCCCAAAGCCTGCTGAGAAAACCTTGATATCAATGCCCCTTGTCTGAAAATGTCGGTCTGGGTAATATCAGGCTAAATTTCACAAAATATTTGAAGTTTTCAGACCTTAACATCTGCCAAAGCAGCACTGCTACCTGGGCTGTGATTGATTCACAGGTTTTTAAGGCCAGAAAGGACCATTAATGTGATTCCCTGAATAGAGCAGGCTGTCAAAAGCCATCATTATGCCAAAACAAGAATGATATTTGCATCTGATCAAAGTGCGTTTTCCAGGTCTCACGGTTCTTGTAGCAATTCCCCTTCCTCCCCACCTGCTATTTCTGTTTATTCACTCAGTGCAACATACTTAACATCCCACTTTAGGCTCTGTAGGAAAGAAATCATGTTCTTTAAATTGTGCTGCTCAACAGCCAGGATATATTTGAGTGCTGTAAAAATAACAAATGGAAGAAATTGCAAGAAACAATAGATATCCAAACTTATATGTTATAGCTTTAGAAGTTCTCTTATCAAACTCCTGTACGAATTCTCAGTACTGTGCTCACTATCCAAGTTGTTTTTTAGTGTGAATAAATAGAAAATATAGCTGTTGTGGCTCAAAGAGTCAGTACAGTTCTGCGAAAGCTAGCTTTTGCCCAATAACCTTCTCAAAATGCTGGAAGATAATGAAAAACTCCATACTTTTTAAAATGTCATTTCATTCTTTGCTAACACAATGCTTATAAAAACTGCCAAGGGCTAAGTGCAGCTTAATAAATCTCGAAACCACAGCTCCTTTGCCATTTGGAAAACTGTAACGGAGTCCAAATGTTGCTACAGCAGGCATGAATAATTCATGGCAACAAGGTTAAGAATTTCGAAACTAAAAAAAGCTATCCAATAATATCCATAGCAATAGCAAGGTACAGAAATTCTCCTACCTCCTTGCAAGAACTTCATTGGGTAAACTATGGCATGATAGCGGTCTATGCTTAGTGACACGAGGACATAAGTCGAGGCATATAGAAGGACCACCTGGGGCAGAAGGTATATGAGACACATTTATTGCAGAAAATAATGTTAGTGAGAACACTGAACTAAGACTGTTTGAAAACATTTACTAAAAAAAAAAAAAACCTAAAAGAAAAGAAAAAAAAAACCACCCTTGTATTTTCACCCAGACCTTTTTCCCTTATCTTGTTCACTAAATTTGAAATATTGAATATTCTTTAATTAAAAGCCTTTCAACTTTAAAGGAACACTTTTAGCGTGTAGCACTTCTGATGCTACAAAAATGTCCGTACAGCATTTTTTTAGCGTTTATTGCTGTGGGGACACAAAGCCATGCCGGCTTGGACATACAGGGGAGCATGATGTTTCTATACCTGGAAGTAGCGAACCACTCTGCAAACAATATCGGGAGCCATGAAATCACCAGTGTAGCGCCAAATGATGTCTGTCATGATGTTTATGAGTCCCGTGAATGAATCTGCAAAGAAAATTGATTGAAGAAACATTAAAAGAAGCAAACACATGAACTGCAGGTGAGCCACAGAGGCAGGAAAG